AGAACTAAAGCTGCCACAATCCCTGATGAAATCTGCCCATTGATTTGCATGTGCCTGACCGCCACCCTGCTTCCTGACAAAGCGTGTCAGGCATCTAATGAGCCTTTGGTATTGAAATTTCGCACACTTGACGGACATGTGGTTTAGGCTGGAGGGTCCACGGTCTAGCGTTTAGGATGTAGGACTTTAGGCTATTGGGTTTCTGATTTTGCTTGGCTTTGTTTAGGGCTTGGCGAAGACCGGTGAACAAGCTTTCAGCCATGCGCAAAAGACATTGGAGTGCACAAAAATGCAGTGTTCCGCCTCAGTTATTGTTTTGGAGTCTAGTCGATGGGCTCTTTCGCCGAGTTCTGTTACTATAGCATTGCGTTTCGAGCACTGTGGCACCGCCCCATGATTTACCATCTCTTGATGTTCCGGAAGCTGGACACAGTCTGAGGCTAGACCTCAACACAGACAGTTGAAGGTTTGTGATTCCTTCGCTTAAACCTCGCATCCGACTTTTGCATTACGCACTTGTCGGGCCGTTGTTATCATTGTCATTCAGTTTGCCCAAATCTCACACCAAAGACCACGAGTATGTGTACAATTGCCAAAATTATGTACATAGTAGTTGAGATGAAAAGTTGCACCGATGCTACCCCAGCTACGGGCATGCGTGTGACTCGACCAAAACTGCCGGCATGCTTCTCATGCTTCTGCTCCGTTAGGACAGCCGCGCGGCTTTTAAGCAATCGATATCCGACGATCATAATTCATGCCTCGGTGGGAGATCTTGTGACAGTCTTCAGTTAGTTTGAAATTGAAATGATTAGATGACTCCCACGGATAGCGTTGGCGCTGCTTTCTCGACACCGGGATGCCATAACAGACCAGGCCGTTTGTATATGTATGTATATGTATATATATACATACATATATATATATATATACACATACACAGCTATATGTACATCGTAAAGTAAAAGTTCATGTCTTAGCACCACAGATGCGTATTGATCTACATGTATAGACACCAACGCAGATATCAGTTATCATCATGTCATTACATGTACGCGTACATGGACACAAAGCGAACGCACACACACACACACCCGCTTACAAGCCCGAACTCGGCAGAGGGGGTATGGGGGTGCATGGCGGGAAAGCTCACAAACGCAACCCCCCCCCTCCCCCCAACAAACTTCCCCCTTTCAGCAGACCGAGGTTGCTGCGGCGTGCAAGCATCTCCGAGAAGATCTGAGAAGGACAGCCACTCGTTGAGGGTTTGTAGAGTGCCATGTGTCAGTTTAAGTGGCAGAGGTTCCGTCGCATGATGTGCCGGCTCATGTAAGTTGTGACAGATCAAACCCTCACGGGCTGAGTAGGTAACCTCTAACCTTTTGGGGCATATATAACCCTACTATAGTTTGAAAGGTTAATGTTTCTTGGGCTAGGGTATTCATCCCTTAAGAACCTCGGAATGCTGTCCGAATCACTGGCCAGTGACTGCCAGTGGCTTGTCCACACACTCGCAACGTCAAGCCTGAAGTGTTAAACGACGTGGTATATAGATTGTGGTCAAGACAGATGCTAGAACCAATTTATGCAAAGGGCTTTGGGACTTTGTTCCATTAAATGCTTCACGTATCAGAGAACTTGTTTTTGCGAGTTGGCGTGCAGTTTGTATACCATGGTAGCTTCCAAAACACAGAGTACCCGATTTATGGCGGGTGACACAAAGTTGTAAGGTTTTAGCTCACACGAACGAAGCGGCTCCCAGCAACTTTCCAGAGACCAGTGTCCTCACCGTGAGGTAGCTATCAAGCCCAACGTGGTATTTCCTTCAAACTAAGCTTCACGAGCATCACAAAGTAACAGTGGAACGAAAACAACATTTAGAATCGGCCGGCCGATGCCGAGAGGGCCTGACACAGGTAGCATGCCTTGAAAATCATGTCCTCCAGGAGCTTCTTACCGCTATGGGTCCGTGTGCCCAAAAAGTAGATACTTTGGCCCCCAAGTACCCAAATAGAGACTACTTTAAGGCTACAGTATATACTATTTGGATACCTGGACCCTTAGGGTACTTTAGAACCAACCCCCACATCATTGAAATCTAGGCAGTGAGAGACTGATGGGTTGGTATATGGGTTCCAGTGGTTTAGGGTTTAGGGTATTCCAGAGCAGTCAAGAGCTCAATTCTAAACACGGTGAGTCCTCATGTCCTGAGCCCTACACACTGAGTTTCGAACCTTCGAGGGTTTTGGGGCGGAGATCAGTCTTACACACCCAGTGCCATGTCTTACCACCCTAAACCCTAAACCCTAAACCCTAAACTTCAATGACGAGATCAGGCAATGTGCTGACCCCTGAAGAAGCCACCTTTCCAAGGCTCCTGATTATGATCGCCTTCTACAGGGTCTTGAAGAGTAGGCTCCTAGAGCCTCTAGGGTTTAGGGTTTAGGGTTTAGGGCTTAGGGTTTAGGGTTTAGGGTTTAGAGTTTAGAGTTTAGGGTTTAGGGTTTAGGGCTTAAGGTTTAAATGCCAAGCTTGGAGGATACAGAGCGCCCCTTGTCGTGCGGTTCGAAGTGCAGGTCTGTGTTGGACCGGGCCGATTGGCCGCAAAAATGAAGGGGTTTGGGTTTAGGGTGTTGGGGTTTTGTGTCGATGTTCGGGCACCTTGAGTTAAACTGTTGCCCATAGGAAGCAACCTTACAAGGTAGGTTCTGCAAGGTTCAGGAAATTACAATCTGCACCCATTCCCCCAAGCCCGAAACTTATAGCCCCGGTTCCTTGGCCACAAATCCGTACCCGACAGAAAGGGGTCATAACCTACTGTTTTGCATCTCGAGGGTCATTCTTGGTTAGGATCGCTTATTTAGCGAAGTAGGTAGCCTTAAAAAGGGGTAGGGTCTAGGGTTAAACCCTGGACACATCCCATCACCCCGAGGCCCGAAACACCTAAACCTTTAACGAGCCATCCCTGAAGGTCTATAGCCGCTGTAAACCCTATACCCATAGGCCCTAAAGTAGTTCCTTTTTGGGATTCATATACAGAATCCTATAAGGTAACCCCAAAAAAGAACTACTATGGGGCCTATGGGTAGGCCCTAAACCCTGAACCTTGGATTCCAGGGACCCCATCATTGGGTCCTTAGGGGGTCTAGGGCCCTAACTATAAGGTCCCTGGAAGCATAGGGTGAAACAGCCCTAAACCCAAAGCCCTAGACCCGAAACCCTAAACGACATAAACACGAAACCCTGAACCCTAAACCCTAAACCCCTAAACCCCCAAAGCGCCCTAAGCACTAAGCCCTGAACCCTAAACCCTAAGCCCTAAACCCCTAAACCCCAAAAACCTAAACCCAATAGACCCTAAGCCGTAAACCCTTAAACCCCAATAAACCCTAAGCGCTGCCATGGCAAGCTCTGTGAGCCTTCTATGAACCACGGAGGCCGGAAACCTTCACACACCCGAACGAAGCTAAGCCTCGAAGCTCTAAGCGACTGTGTTTAGTTCTGAAGGTTTAGGGGTTAGGTGTTTAGGCTTTAGGGTTTAGGGTTAGGGTTTAGGTTTTTGGCAAAAGTGCTAGGCCCTTGAAGCTCTAAATCCTTGAAGCACGGATCTGCGCCAAGGAAGAAAGCACAGGCGCTTTCCGATGACATCTCCTGCAACTTCGGCAGTAGTTTTGGTCTAGGGCTTCCTAAACCCTGAACCCTAAACCCAAAACCCTTCCCCCAAGCTCCCTGGCTCCCGGGCACTTAAATCCAAAGAAACGGACAATCTGAACTGAAGCTGAGAATCCCTGGGCCCCGCCCTACAGATTATGATGATCGGTCCGAGCCTTTACGGTTGTGTTGGGTTTTGGGTGGTTTTAGGGTTTAGGGTCCGAGGCTTTCTTGATTTTCGGCAGTAGTTCAGGCAGGGCTTAGTGTTTGGTTTGGAAATATTAAGGGACAATAGGAGGGACCCTTACAAGAAACCCTAATCCTAATACCCTATATCACCCTTATATACCCCTTTATATAGTCTCATAAACCCCCATATATAACCCCAAGGGTCCCTTTAAGGGTCCCTCCTTTAGTCCCTTGAAATTATGATCTTGAAGGAAGGGCCTGGCGTTCAGGGCTGAGGAAGAACTCTCGTTAGAACGGAGGGACCAAGACTTCGAAACCAAGAAGTCACACTTCTGGCTTAGGAAGTTGAGCCTGGGGTTGAAAAAACGAGGTTTAGGGTTTGAGGGTTTGGGGGTTTACGGTTTAGGCGTTAGGGTTTGGGGGTTTGGGGGCTCAGGGTTTAGGGTATCTGCTGCACTAGACCGCTTTTCTAAGCTTTCGGCCTCAGCGTGGAAGCAAGCCAAATCCCGATGAGCATGAAGACCTTAAACCCATAACCGTAAAACCTAGGAGCCCTCTAAACTTCAAACTCAAACACACCTTATAAACCCTAAACCTGAACCCTCGCGTGACTCTAAACCCGAAGCCCTATACAACACCCTAAGCCATAAATCATAAACCCTACACCCCAAACCCTCAGCCCTACACAGAACTCTAAGCGGCTCTAAGCATCTCTAAACCCTATCAACCCTACAAACCCTAAACCAAAATCCCGAATAGCCCTGCCCCCCTAAACCCTATAGACCCTAAACCCTGAACCCTAGACCCTTAAACCCTATAGCACCCTTATGTACTTATAGATCCCTTACAGGAACCCTTATAGCTCCTTGTATAAGGAACCCAAACCCTAAACCCTATAGACCCTAAACCCTAAACCCTAAGCCCTATGGGCCCTAAGCCCTATAGACCCTGAACCCTAAACCTGGACCCTAAACCTGGACCCTAAACCTGGACCCTAAACCCTGAACCCTAAACCCTAAACCCTCTGGATGCTCAGCCCTAGGCCCCAAATCCTTGACCCTATGGACCCTAAGCCCTGAGCCCCAAACCCTAAACCATAAACCCTGAACCCTATGGACCCTAAGCCCTAAGCCCAACTCAGCCCACCGCTCCTTGCCGCCATGCGCGCTGCGCCGGCTCGGGCAGCTCCGGGCGGTCGCCGAGGCAGCGTCCCGGGAGATCTTCTGAAGCTCGGCGCATGGCTTTGGGTTCAGGGTTTAGGGTTTAGGGTTCAGAATTTAGGGTGTAGGATTTAGGGTTCAGGGTTTAGGGTTGAGGGTTTAGGATTTAGGGTTGAGGGTTTAGGGTTCAGGGTAGTTTGGGTTTGGGGCGTAGGGCTTTGGGTTTAGGGTCTAGGGCTTTTTCAGGGTTTATAAGTTTAAAGTCTAGGGGTTAGGGTGGGTGATTTAGGGCTTCGGGTTTTGCTGTTTAGGGTTTAGGTTTTCGGTTTTGGTTTCTTGGAGGTTTTTCTGAGGGTTCTATAGCTTCGAGGGTTTAGGGTGACCTCAAGGGTCCGAGCTTAGGCTGTTAGGAAGGGAGGGTTTAGGGTTTAGCTTTACGATTTAGGGTTTAGGATTCAGGATTTAGGGTTTAGGGTTCGAGATTTAGGGTTTAGGGCCTTAAAACGCAGGGCAGGCTTTCTTCCTTAACGACGAAAAGAACCCTGAAAGGGTTCAAGGTTCGTCTGCTATATACAGAGACTCATGGTATAAGGGCCTAAACCCTAAACCTTAAACCTTAAACCTTAAACCCTAAACCCTAGAACGTATAGGGTCCCGATTTTTGAGGGTCGTTTGATCCTGAAGATCAGGCTCCAGGTGCCCATATGGGAGTTTCTGAAGTAAGGGATACCTTGTTAGGGGGTCCTTACAATAAGGATCCTACTATTTAGTGTACTTTGTTAGGGTGCCCTGTTTTCGGAACCTCCATATAGCATTTTTTACTTGTAGGCCTTAGTTAGCGTCCGACATACGTGTGTTAAGGTTCACGTTTGCTACTATATAGAAACATGGAGCGTTAGGGGTTCTGCGACCACTCTGGGGTTCTAGGGTTTAGGGTTTAGGGTTTAGGGTTTAGGGTTCTAGGAAGTTCAGCATTTAGGTTAAAAAGACGCTCTTAGCTACGTGTTCAGCTTTCGAAAATCGGCTTGCAGGGTTCCGGGTTTTGAGGTTTGGGGTTTGATATTAAGTTGATATTAAGTTCTGGAATTGGGGCGTAGGGCGTGGGGGTTTTCTTGCAGGGTCCTCTTTAGGGTTCTATGAGTCTATATCTTCAAGGCTCTTGGATACGCGTTTGGCTTCTGAAACTCGGCTTGCCAGGTGTGTTGGAACTTCCCTGGTGTTTTTGAACTACAGATTGAGGTTTAGGATGTATAGGGCTTGTGGGGTTTCTTGCAGGGTTCCTCCGTAAGGGCTAAATCTAACGATTTAGTGCTTAGGTTTGTTTGAACTACGCCCAAGGTTTAGGGTTTGGGGTTCAGAATTTAGGGTTCGTGCTGTTTCTTGAGGGATTTCGCAAGGAACCCTACAAGCAACCCTTCAAGAACCACGAAAAACGCTAAGGCCTACATCCAAAGATCCAAAACCCCAAACCTTAACCACAGTAATCCCTGGACCCTTACGGTTGCAGAACCCTTAATAATTACCCATGCTATTTTGGTGGCTCCTTTCGATAATTATAATATAATATACCCCCCAAGCACTTTTCTACTTCCTACATTATCCGTCCCTAAGGGTCCATGTACCCATATAGCATATACTTTGGCCCTGAAGTACCCAAATAGGGATTATTTTAAGGCCGAAGTATATACTTTCTGGGTACATGGGCCCTGACAGGGTTCTACAAGAAGGTTGGGACGTTGGAGGGGGGGGGGCTTATGTTGCGATACGGTTTAGGGTTTGGGTGCTTCGGCTTCGGCTTAAGAGTATAATGGTTTCGGGTTTAGGGTTTAATATATATATATATATAGATATCCCCTTTGGCTTAGCATAGGAACCTGACGAATGGTCAGGATTCTGGGGTATATTATGAGATAGTCATACAGGCCTGAAGGAGATAAACTATGGGTACTCAACTCCAAAACCCCCTTAAACCCTAAACCTTAAACCCGATCTCCGTCGTCTTAGACCCTTTTCCAAGGACTTCCGATAGACCTATGCAGGGCCATGGTTCTTGGAGTGTTCCGAATTTCCCTAGACCTCATCGAACCCCCAGCCCCAAAACTCTAAACCCTGAAGACCCTCAAGATCTAAACATCGACATTGGGTTTAGGGCTTAGGCGTTTAGGGTTTAGGGTTCAGGGTCACATATATAATCTCTGCAAGTCCTAATCTCGGCACACTTAGTCGTACATGTAAGGTTCAGGGCACCTCTTTCTCCCCGGCCCTTTCACCCAGGAATATCGAGTCGTTGCCACTCCGGGAGGCATTATGGCGGCATGATGGGACAGGATTTGGGTTGGGATTTAGGGTTTAGGGGGATTTGTGATCCTGAATTTAAGGCGGCTCGGTGATCGTCGTGTGGTTTTTGTTCACAACCCTAAACCCTAAACCCTAAACCTTTGGGAGGGTTTCAAGTTTTGGAAGGGCGGCCTAAGGTCTTCTTGCCAAAACTGCTGCAACCTAGGGGTTCAGGGTTTAGAGTTTAGGGTTTAGGGGGGCATGATGCACAGACCCTCGTGAGTTTTTGAATTCTGATCCCTCGCCCTAGATCAACTTGAAATTCTAATCCCTGATTCCGGCAACAATGGCAAGTGGCTTCAGGAGTGTGTGCTCTGTTGGCCAGCAAGATGGAGGGTTTGGGGTCTTGGTTTCGGGTTTCGGGTTTAGGGCTTTCGAGGGTTTGGGTTTCGGATTTCGGACTCCTGGTGCACGTTTGAGGCTTTAGTTGCATCTGTTGGAGCCTGCCCGAATGCGAGTTTTCCTAGACCGAGTATTAAAGGGCTACAGGGTTGGGATACTTACTACGAGCATGTATATATATATATATATATTATATATATACACACACACGTATACATATCTATCTATCTACATACATATATATATATATATATATATGTGTGTGTGTGTGTGTATGTGCGTATGTATATGGATGCAGACCAACTTTCCATTCTGCTTGGAGCCAAAATTTA